GTAGATTCTGTCTCTCACAGTTGAGGTGTACCTACGATGAACATTACAGAACTGTCCATTCTCTGTAAGTGGGAAAACTTGGAAAATCGGCAGTGCATCAAATACTTATTTGCCCCACTGTATCTCTTAAAGATATGACTTAAACTATGGATGGCTGGTTGTGACAAACTATACTAAAGGCAGCCTCTGGTCTGAAACTAGCTGAATAATGAGTAAATGTGGCAGTCCAGTATAATGCTCTGGCTACTGTTTTAACACTCTCCATCTCAAAAAACCAAACCAATGTTAAACTGGTTCTCTGCTCTTTCTTTGTGCCACTCCCTGTGCGCAAAAACAGCTGTCTATTCAGTCTGGCAGCCACTGTTCGGGCCTTTTAGCAGACAAGAGCTCCTCCATGGCTGGCTGAAATGAGTACTCGTGGGTTGAAAACGCTTCTTATAACCTTCACTAGGTGGTAGATGGGGCTAATGTACAGACCATATTATGACAACACAGGGTAGAGAAGCAGGAATAACAACAGAAGGGCTGTAGGCAGCAAAGTATCATGGAGGGCGGTTGCAAAGCTGAGAGACACCATGTCCTGTCCCATTTTCACTTGATTAATCAGACAGTGTGTCAATTTGTAATTTATGCACCTTTAAAAATGTCAAACTATTCCAAATTGAGTGTGGAAGCCGACATGATGCGGCAGCTATAATAACATTTCAACAACTGCTGAAAGCAGCAACTAAAGTTTCTTTGCAGTTTTTGAAGGCTCCCTCGTCCTATCCGGTTGACAAAGAACAAGTAGGAAAAGTGTGGATTGAGTGACACCATGTGTGTGAAAGACTATAAATTAGAAAAGGCAGATATCTGACAAACCAGAGGGAACACGGGGCACTTCCCCCTGACTGGAGATGTTGCTCCGTGGCTGGTTCATAGCAACAGGGTTTTCCACGTGGAAGCCAAGTCGGTAGTCAACCTGTAAACAACGAATAATGAGGTTGTCAACACATAGCCTACATGATTTGGCTTGCATGTGAGTATGGCAATCATTTTAGTAATTTAACAATGCTGAGACTCACCTTTGTCTTGGAATGCCATGTAAAGTGAAGGCTGTTGGTCTCACTGGGCACAGGTAGGGTGAAGGAGAGTGCGTAATGATTCACCACATTGTCTCGCACATAGTAAAGCTCTGCATCTAAGCCTGTTTGAGAACAGAGGACACAGAATTGTTGCATGGTGAGATCACTGGACATAAAAGACTTCAGTTTAGCACAAACATAAGCCTCAGGAAACTGGTAAAATATCCATTCAAACTGCCAGCGTTTATTAGAGAGAGGTTCTCCCTAAATAAGAAAGATGGACTAACCACATCTGTTAGTACTTGGGAACTCTTAGTGCCCAAGTAAAAAAAATAAAAAAAATAGAAAACATTCAAGTGACTGAATACAGTGTTTCTCACTCACTGAAACTAAATTATGCCTTTAAAAGTTTCTTTCCTGTGCTCCCGCACCATCGAAAGTCATACAAGTCCAATATGGGCTGGTGAAACCCCGAACCTCGACCTGAGGCAGCGCTATCAGTCCTTGAATGCGTCTGTCTGGCCGAGTGGGGTCTGTCTATCAGTCTCTGAGTATCTAGTTTAAAGAGAGAGGAAGAGTGTGCCCTGGCTCCCTCAAAACCCCCCCAGGCTGTCTCTGAGACCCTTCTCACATCAGCTCAATTAAAAACATTCTTGGGCAAAGGGAACGGGTTTTATGTCTACTATTATGTAGCCAAGTCTAAAGAGTGAGTTGAGTTAAGCTCGTGTGGATGGTCATCAAAACAGTGTTCACAATTAAAATTTGGGTAAAATTATATGCAATGCTGATTAACAATTGCTTAAATATGTGACTAAGTAGCTAAATAATTCTGATTATAGTAGGTGAATTGTAGTAGATCTTGAGTTTGATTTTTTTTTTTAATCAAACACATTTATGTCAGTAACATAGGTATAACTAGAGAGACAACTAAATTATTTTTATAAGAAATTACTGTAAAGTACAATTTTAACAAGCTGTATATGATCTCATCCAATTGTCGTTTTTTCCCAGAACAAGCTCAAAAAAACGTAAGAGATTCAAGTTACTATAAATCACACAAAGAAAACCAGCATATCGGCTTAGTTTATAAGATGAAACCAGCAAGCGATTAACTCATTACCAAATCCTCACCGTTATTAAATGAAGATGATAAATTAATTGATTAATGGACTAATTATTTCTGCTGTTAATTGAATTGGTCTTTATTGCAAGTGGTATAAACATGGTATTAATATATTCATAGTGTAGATGAGCCAATACAAATGATTAATTATCCTTTCCTTTTTTATTGACCTAATAGGAAATGAAAATGAAGGACTTTGCTAAAAGTAATCAGTGCTTATGATTTAAATGTGTGGCATAGCTTCAACTATGTGACGAGAATGTATAATTTATTATTATATTCATTATATCACTAATATTGGCAAAATCTTTTTTTTTCTTTCGCTGAAGTCCAGTCGCAGCACAGCCTCTCGTGTACACATGCAGCCACTCAACAGATACAAACACAACCACAAAGTTTAGTTCTGTAATAACTGCCTTTCTCAAGCTCCACTTTGTTTGCCTCCTTGTCTCAACATGTGGCCACATGCTTACCAACACTGATTAAACTAGGTACTGAGTCAGGAAGGCCCAAATAGGACCAGTGTGTTCAGTTTTGGCCATCCCTCAGTTATCCACCCAAACTGCAATGATGTCAGAACAGGAATGTGAACACCTGTCAGTGCTCCCTGTCCTCCTGACAGGGAGCAAATGAGTGGTTGAGGATTAGGAAGTTGAAGCATGCACTGCAGTCAGTTCCTTGAGTCACACTCCCTTGTCTGTTGGATGGGAAAACAGCTTTACCAGAAGGTGGGTCTGTAAACAAGACTCTTGTTTGGTCACAACAAAAGTCTGACTTGGTCATGATGCTGGTTGCTACTACACATGCAAACATCCTGTAATGCTGAGAGACATGTTTTGTTTGATTCATTTCCATTTCTCCCTGCTGGTGTCAAGTGATTACCAACAGCCACAGCAGGACATACTGTATCACCTGCACGGAGCTGAAAACACTCAACAAAATAATAAGGAAGAATGTTGGAGTTAAGGCTTCATGTTTAATGTAATGTAATGGATCCTCTTTTTTCACTCAGTGAAGGCTGTATTTCATACTACACCTAATAAAGAAAGCCCAATTTTGTTGGTAGAATAAACCAAAAATGTTATCTTTATATGACCCTACAACAGTATCTGACTGCTGATGTGACAATCTGCAATCGATTCTGCCCAGTAAAACCGTTTGTCACTGTGCATGTGTGAGATCTCCAGATATTTTTAACAAATATGCAGGTCTTGTGTTTCATAATGAAGATAGGTGTCACCCAAAGCAGCCGTGTGTTTCCCTGATATTTTTTAAAATTGTTTTTGAACAACATCAGAGGTCTATGACATAGACGAGCTAATCCAGGTTGGAGACTAAGAGACTAGAGGCAATTCATTGTTGGTTTTAATACTGTTAATATAGAGAATAACCTTATCTGAGTCTATTTATGGCTCCATCTCACATTTCTAGCTAAAGCCTGAAAGTCACTTGTGACGGTACAGTATATACAGTAAATGTCTAATTAGTGGCTTAAAATGATTCTTCACTTATGGCTGCAGACCTTGTGTGTTATTAGAGAGTGAATGTGAGAGTGACGCACACACACAAACATGAGAGGGCAGAGAGGGAGAAATCTGTGTTTAGGACAACCAAGCTGTTGCTGCAGAAAAAATATATTTTTTACAATCACTGACAAAATGAACATAATACAAACCAAAGCCCACAGCTGTGCTGAGAGAACAGCTATACTGACATTTAAAATATGCGATGTGAGAGAAAATGACCCCCCATCACTCTCCAATGGCTTAGCACATTATACTAACATAATAATAATAATAATAATAGTAATAATAATAAAGACAGAAAACCATTGCTTAAGACTTGCTTGGCCAAAGTTGGAGCCATGACAGTAGACAAGGCCTCTGCTACAAAGAAACTACTAATTCTAAAACGTGGATGCTTCACACACATCTTCAACCCGGCAGCACAGACGATCTAAACAGTTACCGTGGTTTCAAGATGGGCACCCAACATTAGAGTCACTAATTCAGCTTCCAGCCAAATGTGAGAGGTGGTCTTTCCTGGTTATGTCCCTGAATAATGGCCAGGAAAGTACAAAAGTGCAATGTAGTCACCCCCAAAAATAAATAAATAATAAACTGAAGAATGTTATCTCAGAATTATGACTTAATATCTCATTATGAGAAAAGATCTCACACTGTAAGACATTTCAAGCTGGTCAAACTTAGGAACGCAAGTTCACCTGTTGCTCAATATTTTTAAACTAACTCAGCTGAGTTAACTAAACTCAATAATAGCTGAATAAACTAAAGCTGTTAAGTTGATATAACTTCAAGATGCATGGAAACTCATTTCAAGCTGATTCATATTTCCTTTACATTTCCCACTTTAAGGTGACAGTTGTTCCTCTGATGTGAAGGACTTCACAGCTGGAGCTGTTGAAGGCCGTTTGTACCAAAGCAAGTACAACCACAGTCCCAGTGATCTGTCAGTGTGTGAGGGGGACCGAATTTAGTACTAACCTTTATCATGGTCTGTACCATTTTCAAATTTATGAAAAGAATCAACCATGACTTAATTTAGTGTGTATTACAAAGATAAAAAGAAAAATCGAATATTTCATGCGACTACATTTTTGTCTTTAAAAACAAAGAGCCACTGTTTTCTCCTGCTTTTACTGGCTCCTAGAAATAACGTGATAACAAGGTCACTATATCATTTTACTACAGCGCCAAATGCAAGCAGCACAAACATGCAGAGACCACAGCTATCAAAAGGTTCTGTGTGGAACCTATTCAAGAAAATAAAAAAAACGAGGTGCAAACTCGTTAAGGTAGCATATCTTAAATCTACAACAACTATGCACAGCCATTTGAAGGTGGGGCGTGCAGCAGAAAGATCAACTGTCAGTGGCCATAGGTTTGTCACCCAAAGAAGGAAGTTTGACGATCGATGTGCAGAGCAAACAGCAGCCCTCATCATAAAGATGACAGCAACAGACATGCTACCCACGAGCTTGGTAGAGGGGGAGAGCTGTCGAAGTTTGATGGCCGAAGTATACACATGAAGCACACATGACAACGCTAGCAATATGGTGCTAATTATCTGACAGCACATCCAACAGTAGGCTAAGTAGCCAATTGAACTGCTAATAATGGATTTGGTGTACCTAGTCTTCCAAAATGTACACAAATAGGCCTACAGCCTAGGCTGAAAGCAGCGCCCACATTGTAACACACTGTATCCATGGCAACATTACGTGGACTACTGTCTACTTCAGCTACTACAGCAAGTCAGCACAGTTGTGTTTCCACTGCACTATAAAATGCACTGCGCATCTTCCACATCTTGATTACGTGGGGCAGCTCCAGCCGCTGTGAAGTGACACACAACTCCCGAGATAAATCTCAGTTCCCTTAACCGCATCCATGTTTCCCCTCACGTGCATCTTTTCTTTGTCTAACTAGCCCACATGAGATGCACGGAGAAACTGCAATGAGAGAGCAATTAAGGAAATACGTTTTAACTGACATGAGATGTCTTTCTTCTGAGCGTTAATGTGAAATGTCCAATCACAAATTGATTTTCAATAAAAGGGCGTGTCAATCCATAACCTCAGTTATAGCTCCTCCAGCAGCCTCCTTCATCATGGCGGACCGGAACAACTTCTGAGTCGATTGAGGACTGAGGAATGATAAAATAAGGGAACTGGGATTCATCTAAGGTATCAGTGTGCTGTTACTACCTTACAACATGGAGTTTTTGGTGCTAGCCATTATTTGAACCCCTCAACAGAAGACCAAGTGAGAGACTCCACTGTTAAATCTTGCTACAGTGAACATTTGGATAAAAAGACAATACAATCTCATCCACTCTGACAGAGCATGAGAGGATCTGCCCTGAAGAATGGGATAAACTGCAAAGCTTGTTTAGCTTTACTCGGGAAGACTATCTGCTGCCAAAGAGGATTCTAGAAAGTACTGAATTAAGGGCCTGAATACTTTTGAAAATAAAAGA